AGGAAAATCATTTTGCGTGAGGAGTTAAAAAGTCTTGGGAGGAACTGCAGATGTCCAGCTGGGTCCATCTGGACAGCCATGTTTATCCATTCACAGACTGAGAGATATTTGAAATTTTCTGTCTCTTGCAACGAAGTAAAACTGCAACTAACTTAAATTCATATACAAGTTTTTGTTTGCACATATGATCTTGTTTCTCTTTAGCAAATATCTTGGATTGGAATAATCATAGAGTAGGTGCATGCTTAATTTTTAAGAAACTGCCAACCTTCTTAAGTCTTAAAAAACCACCATTTCTAAAATGATGGTACTTCAAGAACCTTTTTTCATACTATATGAAGCAAAAACTCAGCCAAAACAAAAATTCAGCCAAAAAGATTCTCATTGCGTAAGTGACAGAACCAGGCATTTCACGCCCACGCAGAAAGCCAAACTCTGAACCACAAGAAATAGCTTTACCCAGAGGAGTTTATTTGAAATGGCCATCCAGGGAGCCAGTGGTTATGCATCCCAACCCGCCCAAATGGTGGGGGTGCTTGGATTATATGAGGGGGGAAAGAATGTGAGAGAAGGGCAAGGCCTCGAACGCCTAGGTCCCAGGAGGCGCTGGGCACAGCAACAGGAGCAAAGTGTCTGACTTTCCCAGCAGGGTGTTTTCTCATCAACCAACAGATGTTTATTTCTCATGCCACTATCAACTTAATTTGGCATGTATTTTCAAGTTCCCAGGAATGCAGGTGAAACCACTTAATATTTAATCACAGGGAAGGGGTAAGAGGAACAGGGAACAAAAAGTAAAGTTTAATTCCACTTATATCTATATTTAGTCTAGGGGAGATTTTCATTTTGCAAAATGGAGGGGATCAGGCTACAACTGTGCTTTTATTCACAAGAGGGAATAGCTGGAAACTACCTAAACTGGAAACTACCTAAATGTCAGCGAGGGAGGCGTGGTGAGGTCAACTATGCTACCTCCAAACAATGAATATTGTATAATTCATAAGAATGTATGAAGATTTTATATGATGGTGAGAAAATTATTCTCAGTAGAATGGTAAGTGGAAAAAGCACAATATATCAATCACAGTATGCAGTATAATCATTACAAAACAATTGAAACAATTGGATCTCAAAATGGGATCCTTCCATTCGTTTATCAATTCGTTATAAATTCTGGATTCGTGTCTTTTATCAGGTTATGTGCTTTGCATATATTTTCTCCCATTATCTTTTCTATCTTTTCATTTTCTTTTTTTTTTTTTCTTTCTTTTCATTTTCTTAATGGTGTGTTTGGGAGTACAAACAGTATGAATTTTGATGAAGTCCATTTTGTTAATTTTTTTTTCATTTATGAACCATACTTTTAGCTTTGCATCTAAGAAATCTTTGCCAGGCCCAAACTCTGAAGCTCTGTGTTTTCTTCCAAAAGTTTGATGGTTTTAGTTCTTACAACTAAGTCTATGAGTTATTCTTGAGTTAATCTTGGTGTCTGGTGTGTAATGTAAGGGTCTAAGTTTATCTTTTTGTGTACACACACTTTTTCATTACAAAACACTTTTCTATAGTGTTACTATAACAGCTTAATGTTCTACTTTATGATCATACTATAAATAGTGGGACCCTGGTAAGAGTTTAACAATTTTCTCTCAAAACAAAATTAAACACAGCCCTGATTTGTAGCATTTGCCAGTTTCCCTGGTGTAAATGCTCTGACCAAGCCCAATATCAAGCTACCAGTGATGCATAATATCCGGGAGTTGGAAAGATTTTGCACAATTGGTTCTAGTAAACTGCTACAAGTTGGTTGCAGAACATTTTTGAATCTAACCAATTCCTCGGGGATTTTTTGTTTGTCTGTTTGCTACTTGTTTGATCCCCTTCTTACCCTCAATATGCAAAAGGTGCCCAGAAAGCAGGAAGAAGCAATAGACAGTATTTACTGCTATAAATAAGTGCTGGCCCTGTGGGGAGTTCCTGGAGCTCCTTCACAATAAGCACAGCTGTGGACAAACCCGGGCAGCCTTTCTGTGATCACTTTCATGACGGGGTTCCTGGGGGTGGGGGAAGCAAATATTGTTTAAAAATTAAACAATATTTTGTTAAAAAATATTGTAAAAAATATTGTTTAAAAATTAAAAATTAATTAAAAAAAAGAAGTGGCGTTCCCGAAAGCTTGCCTCAAGTCTAAGGCACCTTCTGGCAGGGAGCCAAAGGAAAGGGATTCTGAAGCAGGTACCAGAAAGCTGGGGCAAGAGCAGATACCACATCAAGATAATGGCTGCCATTGTCAGCCATTGTCACAGTTACTTTCAGTACAACTCCCACCCTTGCTTCCTGGTAAAGACAAAGAAAATCAAGTTTCGACTGAACAGGACAAGCACACAGCTGTTCATACTTCTGCAATTTTGCAAAGACACATATTTATAATTTAAATTATGTGAGTGACTGAGCGAGCCACTTCTTTTCTTCCCTCCCTGTCAGAAATCAAGTATAGAATTAAGCAAATACTGCAAGACCAAAAAGTGGTCTTGATAGTATGCTGTCAAGAGTGTCAGCTTCCTGAAAGTGTATTGGGCAATAATGTAATAAAAGGAAATCAGTGGAGTGTGACAGTTTCAAAGAAAATGTTCTAATCCAGACTTTCAAGGACAACCTTGTAAGAAATGCAAATAAAACTAGGGGGACAAGCCTCAGGTGGCCAGTTTCAGCAAATACCCATTTCTGTACCTCTGCAGCTTTATCTGCATTGTTTTGGGAAGGGAGAGATAGAATTGGGGAAGAGTAAGCAATGAGAGGTTCAGGGAGAGTGTGTTAGCATGTAATCTAGGGATGCCCAGGGATCCCCAAAATTGCCTGCTCTAAAGGGGTCTGTCCAAGCATGTGCACAAAGGTAAAGCAAACTCTTAGTGTGAAAGAACTTTGATAGAATTAGTGTGCATAGAGAGGGAAGAGAAGAAAGGATATTACTAATAGTTTCCCAATAAAACACGCCAAATTACCCATCCCCTCATGGGCAAAAGCCCAGTCAAACAGAGTTCATCAGAAGTGGGTTACTGGGGGTTTGGGGAAGCAAATATTGTTTAAAAATTAAAAATTAATTAAAAAAAATAAAGAAGTGGGGTTCCTGAAACTTGCCTCAAGTCTAAGGCACCTTCTGGCAGGGAGCCAAAGGAAAGGGGTTCTGAAGCAGGTCCCAGAAATCTGAGACAAAAGCAGATACCACAGCAAGATATTGGCTGCCACTGTCAGCTCCCCACACCTCTCTCACCCACATGTCTCTCCAAGCGTCTCTACATGTCTGTCCTCCATGTGTCTCTTTCTATCGCTCCTTCCCAGCAGTACCAAAGTGTAAGTTGGGGCACAGAAGCAAGAGCTCCTCCTCTAGCCCACTTGCCTGTTACATGGCTTTACCTGGCTGCTCAATCCAGCCAGTATTAAAAGGGGAGAGGGACATGGTAACTCCCTTAACTGGTGGGCACAGTAGCATGGGGACAAAAGGATTATGAGCAATTATCACAACCACAGGACAAGACCTTTATTCCAAGTCTTTATAGCTGCCTTTGACTTAACTATCCTTTTCTGTAAATATGAAAAGAGGCTCAGAGAGACATTAAAGTCCTGACCCAGGGTGTCCAAGAAATGTCAGGTGAGAATTGGAAATATTCCATGACACCCCTGTGAATTCATAGTGCTCCTTGGGATGCCTCAGCACACAGTTTGGGAACTGTGGTTGTATATCATTTCTCTGACAAACTCTCACTGATACACACATAATTCCATACATCTATGAAGTATAGTCTCTTCCTGTCTTTGGATTTTGCTTATAAATTATAAAATATGGAGAATTTTACATTTTTCTTTTATATTCAACATTAATATTATGAACACATTCAAATGTCAATGAAATTCTTTTAAAATCATTCATGTCTGTGTTATATACCACATCTACCAATATTTATTTAAACCTTCTCCATTTGTTCAACTTTCTAACTATTCCACTTACAGCTATCTGTAAATATTTCCCTAGACTTGGTTCCCAGAAACAGTATCACCACATGAACAGTTTAAACAATCTTGATATCTATTGCCAAATTGTTTTTCACTAATATTATACTAATAAAGTCCCATCAAAAATATGTGACATGGTATTAAAAAAACTAGCAACAACAAATGTTGGCGAAGTTGTGGAGAAAAAGGAACTCTCCTGCACTGTGGTGGGAGTGCAAACTGGTCCAACCACTATGGAGAGCTGTGTGGAGATTTCTGGACCTACTAAACATAGAGCTTCCATATGATCCAGCAATTCCACTCCTAGATATTTACCCAAAGGACACAGAAGCATCAATTCCAAAGAGCACCTGCACCCCTATGTTTATAGCAGCACTATTTACAATAGCTAAGCTTTGGAAACAGCCCAAATGCCCAAAAATAGATGACTGGATCAAGAAGATGTGGTACATATACACCATGGAATATTACTCAGCATTCAAAAAAGATAAACACATGCAATTTGCAGCAACATGGATGGAGCTGGAAGGGATCATGCTCAGCGAAATAAGCCAGAAAGGAAAATAAAAATACCAGATGGTCTCACTCATAGCAGGAATCTAGAAAACTTAAATAAGGGACCAGGAAAAAGAATAACTATAAGAAAGAAAATATCAAAATCAACAAACAACTATGAACCAAAGACACTCTATGGGCGCGTGGAGGGCAGGGAAAGGTGGGATTGGGGTCAAAATAAGGGGTTGTAATTGTATGGGGAATATAAAAATAAAATTTAAATTAAAAAAAAAGTGACATGGACCTCTCCTGGGAGCGCTGGGTTGCGAGGCTGCCCGCAGCCTCTGCAGCTCCAGTTCGATCCCCGGCCACCGGTGAGGGTCCCACCAAGAAAAAAAAAAAAATGTGACAGTTACTATTTTACCATATTCTTATCTGCTTTGGGTATTTGCACTTATGACATTAAATAAAATCTCTTAACAATTGTAACAGGCAAAAGAAGTATTTATTTATTTTTAAAGATTTATCTATTTATTTATACAAGAACTGGGGTACATGCCAGATGCGCGGGAGGGTGAGAGGATTCACCAGACAGAGCAGGGAACAGAACAGGCAGACTGACGAAACACACTGCTGAGGGGAGAAGCAGGCGAAACAGCAGAGGTCTGCTCGCCATGTGGGACTCTCCCCAGCTGGCAGGGATCGAACCTGCACTGCAGAGGCTGCAGACAGCTTCACAGTGTGGCGCTCAATCACCTGCGCCACCAGGGGAGGTCCCAGAAGTATTTACTTTTCAGTAACAGTATTTTTATAGTATTTTTATATAAAGGCATGTTAATAATTGACATGATAAAGCAAGAAAAATTGACCTATACTTAAAAAAAAACTTTCAATAGAGACAGAATACAAGATGACTGGGAAGTTGGAACTAGCAGTTAAGGACTTTACATCAGCTGTTATAATTTAGGACATAAAGGGATAAATGATCATATTAAGCAAAGCCCATGAAATCTCAGTGGAGAAATGCAAACAATGTAAAAGAACCAAATGGAAATTCTAGAACTCATAAGTGCTATATATAAAATAGAAAAATATTTGTGTTTACCCTCGTTGTGGTTTATGAAGCCTTTTGGATTTTCAAGTTGATTTTCCCCTAACTTGGGATGTCTTAAGATATTATTTCTTCAAATACTTTGTTAAGGCTCAATTCCTTCTTTTTCACCTTCAGGTTTTCTAGCTATATCTTATTATTAGACTGTTTAATATTTTCCTAAAGCTTCTTTTTTTCCTTTTATCCTTAAGGTCAGATATTTTCTGGTAATTTGTCAACAAGCTTACTGACCCTTCTTCTGCTACCCTAATATACTTTTAAAAATCTCCAGTGAATTGTTTATTTTAGGTAAAATATGAATAAGGCCATTCACATAGGATCTGGGAGGGGCAGTGATGGAATAGGGAGCTGGAGGAGTCCTGAGTGACTGAGGAGGGCCTGGCAGGAGTTAGATCTCTTTCCTGAGATTTAGAAAAAGGTGGCCCACTTTCCTTGCTTTATTTCATTTAATCCTCAGGATGACCCTGCCAAGCGGTGGATACTAGCTTATCCTCAGTGATAGAAAGTGAGTCTTAGCCTCACTTTATAGATAAGCAACTGGAAGCTCAGAGAGTAACCAACTTAGTGACCATTTACTCAGAGCTTAACATGTGTGGAACTTCGCTGAGGTGCAAAATGTATTGTTATTAAATGTGTGTGTGTGTGTGTGTGTGTGTGTGTGTGTGTACATACATACGAGTGTATGCCAGAGGAGACAGACTAAAATATCAATATGCTAAGAGAGGTTGTGTAGTGGAATTATCGATGCTTCCATCTTTTTCTTTGAGTTCTTTACCTGTTTCCAGTTTTCTGCAACAAATATGCATTGCCTTTATAATGAGGGAAAAATGAGTAGTATCAAAAATGGACTTGGAGGATGTTGTGAAACATATTTCATTATGATATTCTTGTGGATTGCTTTTGATGTCCGTTTTATTTCATCAAAGCAGTCGACAGAGTTTCTTAGTTCCATCTCCACACCCCAGAGAAGGCGGGCGGATTCATGAGGGGCAATCGGGGTCTCCACCTGGACTCCCAGAGTCCGTGTTTGTGCACATTTCTGTGTGGAGGAGGCACATGCCCAGTACAGAGTGACCATCTCTTCCCATTTTCCAAGCTTTCACCATGCCAACTTCCTCACGCAGAGAGGGCCAGCTGACAGCATGCTTCCCTGCCTGAGGGGCTTAGTTAGAGCTCCTTCCTGGTGTCCGTAAAGAGAAGACAGCCTGATGGTATCACTGTGTTATCACAAGGGACACCCACCCACTCTGGTGCTTTCTGACCCATGAAGTCCTTCCTCCCTTTTTCTGACCTGGCACCATGGGCCCCTGGAGCCCTGCCCATCCAGCCTGGGCTCTGTGGCATCTCTGTGCCTGTCCACCTCACCCAGGTAGCAGCTCTGCGAGAACAGACACCTCTCCTGTATCTGTGTCTCCTGGGGCTCAGGGCTCGGAGGGAGGGTTCAGTCCCCAGTCATCACGGCTGGTTTTCATTGATTTGTGCAAGCACTGAGTGAGCTAGGGTGCCTCCTGGCCTTGCGAAACCAGTGCGGGCACCAAAAACATGGTTTGAAATGATTTGTTGACCAAAATGCTGTAAAGATAACAACAACAGAGGAATGAATACAGTTGAAGCTCATCATGAACAGGCACAGGAAAAAAACGAAAAGAAAATACATTAAAAAAATACACAAGGTTGGTTTTGGGGTTATGGGAATGTGGATGATTTTGATGTTTGCATTTTTAAACTTTTTCAGAAATAGTTTTTGCTGTTGGAAAATGATTTTTAAAGGAGACACAAGAGGTCCTTGGTGAGAATAGAAGTGCTAATGAATAAATTTCTTGTGTTAAGGGCCACCTCAACCTCCTACATCAGCAGAGTCCAGTCCCCAAGCTTCCTGGTGGGTGTTTTCCTTCCTTCCCCTCTCAAACACTGTCAGCTTGCATAACGGGTCATTTTTCTGCTGACTGGTTGGTTTGACCCACAAAACCAGAAGCCTTAGACAGAGAACCAAGAGTAAAAATTAACCCTGTCTTTTTGCTTCTTGGTGAATTCTACAACAAAGCCATCAGAAACTGCTGCCACATCACCCAACTTACAGGGACAGGAGAGCGAAAAATACTCACAAAGAAAGGAATGGTAAATGGAAATAATGGCTGCTTCCCTCGAAGTTATTTCAAGAGGTACAACAAATTATAGAGGGTCTGTGTCTTCTAGCCCACTGCCTGAATTGTTTGATTCGAGTGAATTTACAAATTTTCTCTCAGAGCTTTCGTAGCAGCCTCCGGCGCCTATTTTCCATTAGGTCTCAAGTTCTCTCCTCCTGAGTCTGTGTTCCCTGGGGTTTCTGAGAACATAAACCCTGCAGAGGGGTGGGGAGGTAGAGCTCACTGCTAACTCCTCCTGATTGGCTCCAGACTCGGACAGAGTCAGAGAGGGAAATCACTGTGTCCACATTCATGGGGGCTGGCCCTACAAGTAGGGGTTGCTGCAGTAACTTTGTTCCCAAATGTTCCCATTCAAACCTCTGAAATGCTATTTGAGCCAACCCCTTCACTGGTTGCCTTTGTCCCAGTCTATTGGAATGTCCCGTTTTACTTATCCTCTCCTTTCCTCTAGCGAGAAGTTCATGGAAAAAACTCAAGTCCCAGAAGTGATTTAGTCTAGACCCCCTTCAAGTTCCCTTATTCCCACATGTATCTAATTCCATGCTGCATCAGATGCCAGAATCTGGCCGGGAGTCCCCAGCTGCCTTCTCTCCGGTCAGACTCACAGACTGGACACTCTTGCTGGGCCTTAGCTCAGCCTCCAGGGGCCATAGTCAGAACCCAGCAGACAGTTCGTGCTCCCCTGTGGAGGGGCACATGGAGCTGCTCCGCTCCAGCCTCTCGGTGGAGAGGAAAGGGAGCCACTTAGCTAAGCGCGAGGCCAGGAACCTGTGGAACAGCTGGTGCAGGTACTTCCGGAACCTCTCGCCAACAAAGGCGTAGATCACTGGGTTGACGCAGCAGTGGGTGTAGGCGATCATCTCTGTCACCTGCATGGCCAGGTCCAGCTGTTTGCTCTGCTCACACTCATCAGTGAAAAAGACATCTTGGAAAGCAGAAACAAACACAGTCAGATTGTAGGGTGTCCAGAAGAGAAAGAAGATGATCATGATGACAACGATCAGCCGGACAGCTTTGGCCTTCTTCTCGTTGGGCCGTTTGAGCAGAATTTTTATAATCCCTGTGTAGCAGACGATCATGACCAGTAGAGGCAAAACCAAGCCCAAGATGTTCAGTTTCAGAGCCTGGAACTGTTTCCACTGACTTGAGCTTTCATAATGGAAATAAGAACTGCAGGTGTAATGAGTTAACTCCCACTGGGTCTTGGAAAAGTAAAAGTCTGGAATGGAAGCCAAGATGGCCAGGACCCAGATGATGATGCTGCTGATGATACCAAAGGTGACAGTCCGAGCCCGCAGGGCAAATACGGCATGGACGATGGCCAGGTACCTGTCAACTGTCAGTAAGATGATGAAAAAGATCTCACTGTACAAGCCTATGTCATAAAGCCCTGAGAGGAACTTACACATGGCATCCCCGAAAACCCAGTTATCTTTCAGCTTGTAGTCAATCCAGAAGGGTAGTGTGAAGAGGGAGAGCAGGTCAGAAATGGCCAGGTTCAGGAGGTAGATGCTGGTCATGCTTTTGAGCCTCTTATATTGCATGAGGACCAGGACCACCAGCATGTTGCCAACCAGGCCAATGACAAATACCAGGGAGTACAAGGGAGGCAGCAGCTGAGCCCCAAAGGCCCTCACTTCTGTCTTGTGGCAGGGGGCGGTGTTCCCATAGTCATATTCTGTGGTCTGGTCATAGTCTGTTGAGATAGTTGGATTTTCCATCCTGGCGTTTCCACAGTTCAAGGAAAATGGTTTCTATATTTACTCTGCTGTTAAAGGCAGTGAGCTGTGGACAAAGACAAGGCAGTGATTATATGTCTTCAATCACCTGAAAAATGTTTGCTGCATGTTTACAGTGTGCTGGGACCTGGGTCACATCTCTGAGCAAAGGAGACCCAGGTGCAGCTCTGCCCTTCAGGAGCTTATAGTCTAACAGGGAATGTAGGCAGAAAGAAATGAGGACACAAATCATTAATTCAACGACTGCAAAATGTTGCAAAGGAAAAGTCTGGGGAATGGAGACGAGGGAAGATCTCCCCCACTATTCACAACCAGTGCTGCTCTGCTCCCCCCAGCCTCATCATTGGACTTAAACAACCCTGGGGATGTGCATTATTTCCCCCTATTTTAGAGGCAGTGACATAGACGTTTGGAGTGGTTAGGACACATCTCTAGTGAGAACAAGAACCAGGAAAACAGTCCTAGCTAAGAGTCAAAACTTACAAAGAGATCTTCATGTTTGGGGGAACTGTTCTTAGTCAAAAGTGACACAGCACCCAGCAGTACATGAAAACATGGGTATTTGGGGGGGATTGTCACAAATACTGGGGGATGTCTTTATGTAGAATGTCATTTATTTTTTTTTTAATTTTTAAAAAGATTTATTTATTTATTTTATCTTAGTTAATCTTTTTTTTTATTACCCCCCTTCTTTCACCCCCAGATTTATTTATTTTTTTATACAAGAGCTGGGGTACAGGCCAGAGGCATGGGAGGGTGAGAGGATTCACCAAAGATAGAGTGGGGAGCAGAACAGGCAGACAAGCGAAATACACTGCTGAGGGGAGCAGCGGGTGTGACAGGAGAGGTCTGCCACCCCATGTGGGAATCTCCCTGGCTGGCCGGGAATCGAACCCATGCTGCAGAGGCTGCGGACAGCTTCACAGCACTGCGCTCAACCAGCTGCGCCACCGGGGAGGCCCTATAATGTCACTTATGGGCAGGGTCAAGAATGTCCAGCAACATAAATACCAATAGTGCTGCCACAGTGAAATTCTAGAAGATCATCCTCGTCCCTTTGCAGATGCTGGCTCTGAGGGCACCAGTGTGCGCTCAGCTGGCCCATGTCACACAGCTTTTACATGCCTTATGTAGATCTGGGTGATGCTGTAGGTATTCTGTGACAGCCAAGGAAAGGACAATCTGGGATCGGTGGGGTGAAGGAGCGCTTTTTGGACCCTCAGTAAATATTAGGGGACCCCCTTCCTGGAGGGGTTCTTCTCTGAGACCTGCCACCACCAGGAAGGTCCCAGGCGCCAATCCTATTTTGGTCAGTATGCGCTGTCCCCCAAGTCCTCCTACTAGGTTTGTCTGCAGCTAATCTGGAAAACAAATTCTTTTTGACAACGATGGACAGTAACAGTCTCTTCCTTGTAAGGTGCATATTGAAAATTTTCAGTCTGTTGCCACCAATCTGAGTTGACTTAATCTAAACGCCATCAGTAAAGTAGGTGGTAGCTACACCATAATTTCCATCTTGAAACAGGTGTCTAGTGCTGAGCCTCCTACAATGCTTAATGAATGTTTCCCGCTCACAAAACTCACGTTTCTATGTGGCCCTTGGAAATTAAGGCACGTGGCAGAGGGGGTGCAGGTTATCGGCACCCTGGCTGGGGGTCTGTCATTTTCTGTCAAATCCATCCCTGTGGCTTACCCCCTATCTCTGGACTTACTCTGCCTAATCAGCCCATTGAGCTTTGGAGAAACTCAAGCTGGCAGTCACTGACCAAGCTGTGTTGGCAGCTTCTGATTTCTGCTGCCTCTGTCACTGCCAGTGCTGACAGCTCATTGAGGTTGTTGGCATTTTGAGAGGGTCAACAGGTTTACAGTGGAAGCAACATGCAATTTAGAAGCACATGGCACAAAACTGATCCCACGAACTTAGTTTCTGGGAATTTCGGCAAAGGTGAGGCAGTTTGAGTGGGCATTATCAGACAATATTTGAACAGAGTCACCACCACATCACCCTATGCCCCCCCAACTCCATTCACTAATTTCTCAGCATGGGCATCACACCACAAGTCCAGGTAGGCTGCTCCTTAAGGGACTTGGCCTGCAGAGGGTCTTGGAAGACAGAACCAGAGCAATGAGCTGCCTGCCCTGCAATCTGCCAGCCCTGCTGCAAGCCTGAACATGCTCAGCAGCAACCTGGTATCTGGAAACTTCCAGGGACAGCATCCTCTAGTCTGGGAGTTGGTGAAGGCTCTGAGTTGTGTGTGTGGCGTTGGCTTAACTGGGTTCATTAGAACCAGTTGTGTGTATTTCTTCCTAGCTCTACAGTCAGCGTGCTGGTGACTTGAAAATCAATACAGTGGGAATATTTACACCAAACACTAGAAAGCAGGTTCTTTTTTTCTTTTTTCCAGGCAACTCACTCATTAAACATTTGCTAACACACAAATACCCCACTGTCTGAAGAACCCATAGCTGTCCTGCTATCTGGGGTGAGGACCAAAGGGCCAACAAGTGACACACATCATGGTGGTGGAAGTTCTGGGGCTTCTAACTCTGAGACCCCATGGAGGAAGAGCTGAAGTAGATACCTCCAAGTAGCCCTCTATTTGCAGAATAAAATTCTGATCTTCCTTTTGGCTGGATGGATGCATGCCAAGAGGTCATCTCCCTGCCTTCTGGGGGTAAAATCTTACCTCCTTCAAAGATAGTCAGTGGTTCTGGTTTTATTCTTAAGATCCTTGGTTCTATTCTTAAGAAATTGGTTCAGTACCAAATCATTCTGGAGTCTGCAGGTTTTTCTCTAAATCATATTTTCCTCTTACTACAGTTTCTGCGTACACCCAATTTGGCTTTCATTTACATGGGAAAATTTGGCAAGTAATTTCTTCTTGAATAGCTTTCAACAGAAAGTGCCTCTTGTGTAAACCAACATTACCTCAATAAAAAGTAATTTAATTACTTCTTTAAAAAAAGATGCCTCTTGCCCCATAATACTGAGCTGATTTCTTATCACCAGCAAGAAAGCTCTTTTTTAGCAACACAACAAAACTATTTTGTTTCTGAGCAGTCTTATAAATCCACCCATTCTCAGTATTAATATAATTTAATTGCCTTAACAATGCATCAGTGATTACTTAGGTATTCTGCTATCCACAAGGAATTCTCTGCTTTTGTGGAAACCGACAGATATACAAATAATGTTGTAAAACAGGAGATAAACTAGCCCTATCTGACCACACGCAGGTCTTCAAACAAGATTGTCCCCCACACTAAGTGACAAGACAGAAGAGACAAATACTACTTACTCTAGTTTCAAGGGATTTTGTCCATGAAGTCTACTTTTCGGGAGTTTTTAGAGTCCTCACGAAAATAAGATTCAAGGTCTTGATTGAACAGGAAATACTCTGCTTCCTGTGGGTTGATGGAACCAAGTGTCTGGGTTCACAGTCTATTAGAATGACTAGAAAGGACAGAGTTCTTCTTTTTGTATGATGGGGCCCACAAATGGCCAACACCCAGCAGTGGTCAGTTCCTGAAGATTCACTCTAAAGACTGCTCCCCTCCCCGCCCCATGTGCCTCTTCCTGGAGAGCTCTGCAGAAGGGGATGGCCGGGGTGAGGTCCGGTAGAGGCCAGTGGGGCAAGGTGGGAGGTCAGAAAGTGTCCCCAGAAATTGTGGGGCATTTAAGACAATGGATGTCGGAGGGGAAGGGCAGAGAGTTCTTGTGGTCATTTTTTTTTTTATACTTCAAGTGTAAGGATTTCAACCGGAACCCTAAGTTCTGTTCCTCAAAAAACAGAAAAATCCCCGTGTGGCTGATAGGGTGAAGTGGCAGCTACTCATTGGCGCCCCCTAGGCCCTGCACCTCAACCTGCCACAGTCCCTCTGCTCGCGGTGCCTGCCCACCCAAAACTGCAGGGAGATTTTTACCGCGCGGAAACTCCGGCCTGGAGTGGGTACAGAGGTGTGGGTTGGTCTGGGTTGGTCTGGGTTGACCCTTCCTGTTCCCTGTGCCTCTCTTAGGCAGTGGGCCAGACCCGGCCCGGCTTCGTTCTGTGGGCTAGACCCGTCCCGGCCACTTCTCCATCGGAGGTGCATGGTGGTGACCGCCTGGCAAATCAGATCGTCCTGCATGCAATTCTGGGTCACCTTTTACTGACTTTGAACTCTTTCCTCTCCGTCTCTTCATCTTTCTCTTCTATGAAATATAGTGTCTCTTTCTCATCTGTAAAATGAGGTTGATGAAGGGAAATACAAATCAAAACCACATTGCTATACCACCTTACACCAGTGAGAATGGCACATATAAAAAAAACTAGCAACAACAAATGTTGGCGAGGATGTGGAGAAAAAGGAACTCTCCTGCACTACTGGTGGGAGTGCAAACTGGTCCAACCACTATGGAAGCTGTCTGGAGGTTCCTCAGTCTGCTAAAAATGGAGCTACCATACTATCTGGCAATTCCACTCCTAGGGATCTACCCAAAGGACACAAGAACACTGGTTCAAAAGAACACCTGTACCCCTATGTTTATTGCAGCACTATTTACAATAGGTAAAACCTGGAAACAACCCAAATGCCCAAAAAATAGATGACTGGATCAAGAAGATGTGGTACATATACACAAAGGAATATTACTCAGCAATCAAAAAAGATTAAACTCATGTCATTTGCAGCAATGTGGATGGAACTAGAAGGAATTATGCTCAGTGAAATAAGCCAGAAGGAAATAGAAAAACATCGGATGGTTTCACTTACAGCAGGAATATAGGGGAACCAAATAAGACGTCAGTGTAAAAAAATAATAACAGCACAAAACACAACAAAGCAAAAACGGACAATTATAAATCAGAGACAGACTGCAGGGGAGGAGGAGGGAGAGGGATCAGAAGGAGGGAGGAGCACAGGGGACTGAGGTGATGGTGCACGGGTGCCTTGGGGAAGGAAACTCTATGGGGACTACACCTGAGGGGGTGGGGGGAGCAAATATTGTTTAAAAATGAACAATGATGTAAAAAATTTAAAAAAAAAATTTTAAATGAGGTTGATGATACTGCTCTATGGAGATGAATAAATGAAGATGTGACTGAAGAATTTCGCGTGTTTCTTCAGATCTTAAAGATGCTTGCCTTAGGTTAGGGTTGCTCAGGTGCAAGACCAGCGTGCAGGTGCAAGTAGTGTGTTTTCAGGGGATCCCAGGAAACACTGCAGGAAAGGGGGCAGAGGGGCAGGGAACGGAGTTTGCTCACGAGGGATTTTGTAATGCCCCTGTCCTGTGGGCCAGCAGAGTTCTGTCCTACTGGGTGGGGAGAAGGGTAAGGGGACTGGACGTGTGTGCATCCAACCTCTTCTCATGCAGCTCTGGATGAGCACTGCTTCTCCTGGTATTCTGGCTACCGGTCTGTTCTCGCCCGGCTTCAAGTCTGCTCCGCAGCAAGGGGCCCTGTGTTTCCAGGAAGCACCTTTTGAGTGTTGAGGTGAGACCATGGGGCCCTGACGCAGCTCTGGTACTCAGGAACCCCAGTGCAGGCCAGCGGCCTGCAGCCCTCAAAGCTCTCAGCCCTAACCTCAAAGTAATAAATGGGGGGTGTGCATTGCTTGGCGACTTTTAGCATTTTGCTGGCAGGTTAGTGTCCAGAGAGCAAGGCTTCGGCACCTGTCTCTGCTTGGCCATGGCTAAGGTGAGCAACAGCCTTAGTACCTCTGTTCCTCCACTGACTTCCAGCGCTGCTCTAGGCTTCTGGGGAGAGGACCTGCCAGGCAAATGTGCTTGTTCATTTCGCAGATATTTATTAAGTGCCCACAATGTGCCAGGCCTGTGCTAGACACCAGGAATATGACAGTGAACAAGAAAGGCCACTGCCATTCTTCAAGAGAGCTCGTGAAGCAGTCATCCCAGATGACTAAGCAGGTCGCTACAATATGGAACTTGTTTACTGTGCCTGGGAAGTTCCCTGGGATGAGGAAGAGTACTCCTTATTTTTCCATCCTGGTGGTCATTCTCCTTCATGAATCTCTTTCTCTCCTTGCCTACCTGGCCTCTCCAGCCTCTCTTTCAGCACCTTGCATTCTATAAACCCCAGCCTGGCAAACCAAAGGAAACAGGTCCAATGGTTCTAGGTCCCTGTCTCTGTCCTGCTCAGCTGTCCCATCACACTGGGACATATCCCAAAATGAACGATGGTATGTGGTGCATCAATATCAGACCTCCAGTCTTCGTGCCTGGATCCTCCAAGAGGCCACGTCCTCCCTGAAGGCTCCCATCCTCCACAGGAAGAAGCCACCAACGAGAGGCAGGTGCTGGAACTCTGAAGTTTAATCATCTTGGGGAGCATGGAGACCTCTTTGTACACCTAGTTGTATGGGATGCCTATCAATAGATACATAACAAGAGCTACAAAAAGTTTACAAAATGGTTATTTTTTTAAAAGATTTATTTATTTGTTTATACAAGCACTGGGTACAGTCAGAAGTGCAGGAGTGTGAGAGAATTCACCAGAGCCAGAGCGGGGTACAGAACAGGCAGACCAACAAAATACACTGCTGACGGGAACAGAGCAGGAGAGGACTGCGCACCACGTGGGACCCTCGCTGGCGCCAGGGTGGCCAGGGATCTAACAGGCGCTGCAGAGGCTGGGGGCAGCTTCACAGTCCAGCACTCAACTGCTGGGCCCCATTTTGGGGGAAGGCCCCAAAATGGTTATATTTTAGCAACCTACATTGTGGCTCTCAGCTCTAACATTCTCTTGTAAAAAATCTCCATGATCTCACCACCACTTCTCTATCTTTGCAGCCCAACAAACAAGCTCAAGACTTAGGGCCTTCAAATCACTGTGTCATGTTCTGCAATTCTGTGGAGCAGACAGGTGTCCCTCTGGACTGGCACTCGGTGCTGGTTGGCAGCAGAGCTCCTCGCTTCCCCACCTGCCGCTCACCCTCCAGCCGGTCCGAAGGGCTTCATGGCTTGCTGGCTTCAGACATAAGCAGAGGCTGCAAAGCCTCTTAAGGAATCGCCTCAGGGGTCACATATATCTCTTCTCCTGCATTTGTCAGTCAAAGTGTCACAAAGCCAAGTCACAATCAAAGAGCTGAAAAATAACACCTACCCTTTTTTGGAGAAATGACGGAATCCCACTGTAAAAGGCTGTGTGTGCCAGGACAGGAGGCGCCCCCCAAGCACACGGGTCCTCTAGCTCACTTTCCAAGGTTCCTTAAGCTCCCCTCCCCTCCCGATCTTGTTTTCGTCACACCTCAGCCCCTTGCTCCTCTGATCCTGGCTGCTGGAACTCACCATCGCCATATCTGTAACCCTCATATCCGATTCCCAGCATCCAGCCTGACACAGCCCATCACTGGCCACTCCCTGTAGCTCCAGTGTTCTTTGATCCCCGTGGGATCACTGACATTTAACTTCCCACCACCCTCCAACTTCTCATGTCCTTACTGCCCATCACCTTCAAGCCCATGGGTCATCATTACATCCGCTCCCAATTCCTTTGCTGTTTTTGGACCTTGTTGTGTCTACCATGCGAAGTTCCCATGCGGCCTAGATCCAACCCCTCTCCACACCCAATGTGGACTGGAGAGACCTGCAGCCTAGGGTCACTCTGTGAGTGACAGCCATTCTCAGAGCATCCTCTCCATCCATAACTGCACTCCTTGTCGTAGACATGATCTCATACCTCCTGCTTTTCCTTAAACCTCCAATGCCACCTCTGTCAACCTCATTCTTAGCTGATGACCTGGATTCTTATTTCTCTGAGGAAATGGAACAGACCATCAGAACACTTTCTGTCTTCCCGACCCTTTCCTGGGCCCTCTACTCTGCTCACCCCTGTCCTGTGGGTGGACTCTTGCATCTAAGTCCATCCTTCTACCGGATCCCTTCCTCTTTCTCCCACTCAAGGACCTCCCTCCAGTCATTTTCTCATTTATCACCTGTTTTCCTACCCTGTTGGGTTATTCCCATAGCATGCGTGCACACACACATATACCCTTACTTCTATGTGTGCTCGCACGCGTGCACACAAACACACACTCACACACTCACACTTCTCTCTTTGACAAAGAAACAACGAGCAAAGTCTCCTTTGGCTGACCCATTTCTTCATTCTTTCCTACAATAAAATTACTCAAAAGAATTGTCTTTACTTGTGTCCAGTTCCATCCACCTATACTTTCTGGAATCCACTCCCCTGAGGCTCTTTCCCCACCACTCCACTGTGCCAGTCAAGGTCACCAGTGACCTTCACGTGATTAAATTGCATGGTCCATTTTCAGGTCTCACCGCCCTGACTGCTCAGCACACTTGACACATTTATCTTTCCCTCTTCTTGATTCTCTCTTGGTGTGCGGAGCGCACTCCCACGTGCCTGCATTTCCCCCTACTTTGCTGGCAGCTCCTTCTCTACTTCCACTTCTGTTTTCTCCTCAGTGCCTCAACATCTTAACATTGGCACACCCCAGGGCACAGTCTTGTGGCCATCCTCTTTCCTATCTACACTCACTCCTTTGGTGACATCATTCTTTCTCACGGTTCCAAATGTGATATTCA